CTCCTCCTCCTTGTCATCAGTCTCCTCCTTTCCATGCGTCTCATGAATCCTCTCGTGATCCTGTCTCTGTTCATCCTGCGGCAGCTGCTGCTGCCTGCGCGGCTGCCGACGTGGAAGCGCAGCAGCTCCTCCCTCTCCCCTCAACCTCTCGTTGCCCAGGATCTCCATCGGCGCGCAGCTCTTTCTTCTTCTCCGCCCGGCTCGATTCGGTGGCAAGTCATTGGCGCCCAGCTCTGTCGGATCACCATCGGCGCGCAGCGGTCCGCAATCAGAGGAAGGGGTTGGTTTTCCACCGTTCCTCCGCTTCTCGACTTGGCGCGCAGCTCGTTCGGATATTCCAGCGGTGCAGTTGAGCTGCAAAGCGCCAAAACTCTCTTCCAACTGCTCTCGGTCTGTTCTTCTTCTTCTCGAATGTTCCACGTGCTCACCGCCTCCTCGCCTTCCTCGTCTTCCTCCTCTTCCTCCTCTTCCTCCTCCTCCTCCTGCTGTCATCTCCCCACCTCCTCCTCCATCCCGACCACCGCGAGCAACAATGCTTCCTCCTGTTGCTAGGACCTTCCTTCTTCTCCTGTCCCGATACCGATCTCCATCTTCGCTTCCGCCTACCCCATCCCCTCCCTCAACACCTGTCGCACTTGTTGCTGCCGCAAAGACCCTTCTTTCACTTAGTGTCCCAACCTTTCTTCTTCCCTGCCGTCCTCCTTCCCCTCCTTTTCCACCTTCTCCTCCTTTTCCCCTTCCTCCCCCTCTTCCTCCTCCTCCTCCATCTCCTCGTCCTCCACCTCCTCCTCCTCCTCCTCCTCCTCCTCCTCCTCCTCCTCCTGTTTCTCCTTCACCACAGACTTTCACGCAACCACTGCCTCCTCCTGCTACCACTGCTTGTTCTACAATCCCTCCTTCGCCTCCTCTTTCCCCTCCTCCTCCCCCTCCTCCTCTTTCCCCTCTCCCTCCTCCTCCTCCTCCTCCTCCTCCTCCTCTGTCGTCTTTCACACCATCACTGGATTCTCTTCCTGCCATAGCTTCAGGTATCACTTGCTCTCCTTCCTTGCCGTGAATGGGCGTGTTCCTGCCGTTGGATTTAGGAGAGCTAGCGCGTACGTCATCCTGTGGCAGCACGGCGCGTGCGGAGCCCTTAACCTGCACCTGGCAAGACAGACGGCCACCATCGCCATTTCCGTCTTCTCCATCATCTCGTGCTTCTCGATGATCTCCTTCTTCGCCGTCGGATTCCCCAGTGCACTGCTGCTTATCCATATGCATGTCCTTCTTCTCCCCCTCCCATCCTCCTTCCTCCTCCTCATCGTCCTCCCCCCTCCCTGCAGGTTCGAAAAGGCCCTTTCCACCATCGCCTGCCATCAATTACAGCGCTTTAGCTTGCGCCACGTGTACACAGGTTCACCACCAAGCCCAGTGCACGTTTTCCTGCTGCTCCCAGCTTAGCCTTGCCTGTCACTTTGGGCTATGGAAACCAACCCATGCGTTGCCAAGCACCCTCCGAAATCTTTTTCCTTTCTCGAGTTCAACCCCATCACCGTCCGCCATAGCCAACACTCTTTCAGCGCCATTTCTGACAACGTTCACCTCCACCCCACCCCACCCCTCTCTCTCTCTCTCTCTCTCTCTCTCTCTCTCTCTCTCTCTCTCTCTCTCTCTCTCTCTCTGTGTCTGTGTGTGTG